TAGTACTCCTCCTCTCTCTCTCTCTCTCTCTCTCTCTCTCCTCCCTCGCTTACCACCACGTCGAAACTCTCCTCTTTCACCTCGTTCGACACCGTAAACCCGCACTCTAACCCGGACCACGCGAGCCCGCGACTAGCTCGCGAGCGTCTGGAACGGCCTTTGTATTCTCATTGGCCGCGGCGAGCCAGCCTTTTATCGGGTGAGGTCAATCCACCGGGAACGTATCTAATCTTTCCAGGGTATCTGGACAATTTGTTTCGAGCCTCGCTTTCCTGGCCCTGCTTTCACGGATCCGTGCTCTCTTCTCTCCTCCCGATTTGCTGGATTTCGCTTCTTTCCACTCGTCGATCGGAAAAAAAAAAAAAAAAGAAAGAAAGAAAAGAAGAACCGATTGGGAGCGACGGGAGGGAGAAAGAATGATCGTTTTCAGGATCGTTCTTCTTGGATCGTTGTCGAGATGTTTGTTACGGTGATACGTTAGCTAGTGTCCCGCGTGAAATTACGAGTGAAATCTTTGAATAGGAAAGGTAAATCTTCGAGAAATCAGCTTCGAACGAATGTTTGATAAAGCGATTAACACTTAGTCAGGATTCTTTCCCGTTTTTAATCCGCTTTTCGTACGGGTTAAAGAGGATTATCCTCTTGTGCTCTCGACGAATTACGAAACACTTGATAATTCGATCGATTAGGAATGAGGTGAAGGAAAGAGCTTCCAATTAATGCTCGGGCAAATGACGAGTATCGAGGGACTCTCGTTGTGATCGTGTAGTATCACAGGGCGAGATGATTCAGATTTCGCGAACCTCCCCACTCGTGATACTAATTACGATGTCACCGATCATTTGCTAAATTCTGCGAAAGAGAAAGCTGCGCCGTGTGCACACGTTGGACCAGTTTTAGAGTGCACGTTGGCTGGAAACTTTCAAATTAATTTACGTCCGATTCGTCGTTCGCGTGATTCATAATACTGCCACGCTACTTTCCACGCTTACGCCGAGATATATGATATTTAATCGCGTTAGATTAATGGAGGTACACATCTCGCGTTTAATACCCTCGAAATTGACTCGCAGATTAATTGATTCATAGATCATCCGTTTTCTGCCGAGTATCCGAGTGATTATTTAGTTAGTTTCGGATGATAAAACATTAGGTAGAAAAGAGCTCTCTCTCTCTCTCTCTCTCTTCCAAGGCAAGTTGCAACTTGTGAGCGTGGAAAAATGAAAAAGAAAATTATTTCGAATTAAACGGTGAAAGTGTTTAATTTCTCAAAATCTTCTCAAGATTTTTTCCATTCGCTACCTTGACGCGCGGAATTAATGGAATATACAGAGTTGCAGGTGTCTTTCGCAAGGGATTCCAATCCAATTTTCGAATCTTCGACGATTTTTCTACGACTATGTTGTCGAAAATGGGATAGGATTTAGGAAAATGTCTAGAGGAGAAGTAACATCGTATTAACGAAAAGAGCAATTGCAAAACTATTTTAAAGTCTTCACAGAGGGAAATAATAATAAACAACAACGCGTAACTTTCATCGACAGAAGACATTTCGTCAAAAAAAAAAAAAAGGTACGACGATGGAAAATAGGTACAACATGGATTAACGAGAAAAGAAAAAAACGAATTTTTCACAACGATAAAAATAAATCTCCCTTGATCATCCGCGAATAAGGATGACTTTTAAATTTCTCAAGAATATTTTTAAAATTCCGAGAACGACCTGTCACAAGTTTAATAATATTACGTACATAAATATTGCACGAACGTTTCAGTTTCGTTAAAAATAATAATTCACTTTTCGGTGAGGAAAGGAAGAAAAAAGAACGCAAGAGAGGATTAAAACTTCGATCAGCGGATTCGCGAGGAGGCGAAACGAACCGAGGAGATGCCGGCACACGACCGTCCCTACTTACCAGTGAAAGGGTTAATTACGATCGTGAAACCGGTGAGACGCTCGGCTCGTGTGGGCGAAGCCGATGCGATGCGATGCGAGCTTTAAATCGAAGATATCCCGGTACGCGATTATGCGTCGCGTACGGTCCTACTTTCTCTCACGCACGCACGCTCACCCACAACGTGTCGTCGCCGCCGTCGTCGTCTTCGTCGTCCTCGCCGTTAAGTGCGCCTGCACACGATCGATCGATCGATCGATCGATCGATCGGCAATATAACGATTCCCAAGGCTCGAACAGACAGGCTCGAACAGACATCGCATCGCGACAACGAAGAAAAATCGTGATGCGTCTATAAATAGTATCTTTCTCTTATTCGACCTCCCGCTCTTTCTCGCCGCGGTTTTTCTCGTAAATGGCGAACGTTAGGGGAGGGGGGGGGAGGGGGGCGGAGAGAAGGGGGGAGGGGAGAAGAAGAAGAAGAAGAAGAAGAAAAAAAAAATTCACCGCTCGAATGAATTATTCACGAAGGATATCAATTATCTTGTCGAGGCGTAAAATAAAAACATGTGACCGAACGATCGTTGTAATTAGCCCACAACATATAGGAATTTCATGCCTAATTGTGGCGAATACCGACGTCTAATGTGCTACCTATTAACAATGACATCACTTACGTTCTCTTGTTAAACCGGAAAGTGGGTCGTTTCGTTATGGAAAATCTCGCGAAACCTCTTCACGCCTGCCTATGCGCAACGAGTTATATGTGTAACGACTCTCTCGAGTCACTTTTCTTTCGCAATTCCTAAATCTCCGCGATTCCTCGGTCGTTGCGCAAATTGCGCAACGAGGAAATATATCCGTCTTGACAGATCGATCTATCGTACAATACTTGCTTTTTCTTTTTTTCTTTTTTTTCCTCCTTGGCTCCGAGTCACAATCCTCTTCGACGTAGACACACACATACATACATATATATATCATATCGAGAAAATAACGAAACTTATTAAATTAGATAGAAATACGTGTTAGGTAGAAAGGAGGAATAAATTTCTCGGTGCAAACTGGGATGGAGAAGAAGAGATCGGAGAAGAGGAGGGAAGGAACGAGTGGTTAATTCATGAGAGCAAATCGTGGAGAGCAAGTGGCTGGTGCGCGGTGCGGCTGCACGTGGTGGCACGTGGAGAGGCGTGGTTCGTGGGAGGGCCGTGTACACCGGTGTAATCCACTTGGCACACGCTGTTCGGCTAACCCTACTCTTTCTCGTCCGTTCGCTACCCTACCCTGGCTACGGCCTCTGCCTTTACCCTGCCTACGGTGCCAGCGCTGTAGAAGTTAATCGAATCCTTCCGTGCACGTGCACACGGCTCAGGTGCAGCCCGTCTACCTCTAGTATGCGCTCCCGTAGGTGGGATCGCTCGCGCCTCTCCTCGTTGATCCCCGCTCTCTGATAGGGCTCGTTGTTTTGGACCGAGCTATCTTAATTGGCGGGGCAACCACCTTGCCACGGGTCACATCTCAGAGGAGAGAATGGAAAAGGTTAGAGGGAAAAGGAGAGAGGGAGAGAGTGGATTAACAAAGGGTTAACATTTGCGAGTTTTCGTTGGGCAATGACACACGGTGCATGCACGATCGACTCGACTACGTACTCTGATTTACGACTCTGTATATATATATATATATATATATATAGATTTGTATATAGATTTGCCCAGTTAGGATAGGATTGGGTGCAGCCCCCTTTTAATTCCTCGTAACTGGTGTCGTTATCGGTATATAATCGCGCCCCTCTATCAAGATTAATCTCAGCTACGGGTGGAATAGCTATGTTTTACGACCTGGTGAAAACCACTAGGCGGTCCTCTCTCGTCGCGAAATTGAATCGAATCGGTGACCGTGACTATCTCGCATCTTCCCCGATTCTTCTCGACGAGTCGGAGAAGGGTGGAGAAGAAGGAACAACAACGGATGGGATGCATCTGTTTCGTTCAAGTTAATAAAATCTCCCCTTAATTCCGCTCTCTGTTCGTTTTATTCGTGTTTTTTTTCGCGTCGTATATACACATTTCAGAAAAATATACATAATTTGGAAAATTTATAACGACGAGTTTTTTGAGTTTTATCACAAGTTAAGTATATTTTGTTCGAGGTTCGTCTTGGTGAAAAGCGATCTCCTTTTCGATGGGAATATACATACTCATCCCTCGGGCGTTAGGGATAATATCGTGTAATAATAATCGAGCAGGGGTTAGGATGGTTGGTGTCTGCTTAGGCTCGGTAGTATTTTAAATGCCAATGATTTCATGTCTCCCTGGGGTATCGAAGCTACCCTATATAGGACGAAACGCCGACGTCGAGGACCTCAGTCGACGTCGAGAATTCGACGATTGATAGAAGTTAAGTTGAGTGTTAACGGTGGACAGCGAGGACAACGGTAATTTGAAAACCGTGTTCACAAAATTCAGAATCCGTGTGCAAGTAATCTGAGAATATTTGTCTATCTCATCTCGAAAAAAGATACGATCTACGCGTCGAGTTTAATTCGAGGGCCCGTCGATTCGAACCCCCGACTTGATCGCAGAGATGATCACCATGGACATCGGTCACTCTCAATATCGAAGATATTGTACGTAGATATCATCGAACAAATTTCCATCTCATCCGGAAAATCCGGACAAAAGACGGAAACGATCACGGATATCTCAGGTCATAGACAGAAATAGTCTGACTACGTTATTGCTGCGTTGTCGGAAAGTTGTCGTCTGTCTCTCATTGTTTCATCGTGGACAATTTAAACGAGTTCGTTTTAAAGATCGAACTTTTCATCGTGATCAACGACAGAGACATCCCTCTCTTCCCCTTCGTACGCGAGCACCGTTTTATCGAGAAGTGGGGAAAAAAGAATAAAAAAGTAATAAAAAAAAGTAATAGAAAAAGTCTATCGAACTGGTGTAAATCGCTCGACAATTGACTTCACGTAGGCGTTTAGGGTTGACGTTGCACGATTCATTTATTTTCATCTTCGGGGGGGGTATGCCCGAAGAAATGCAAAGAAATCCGCTTGTACTTGTTCGTAGCTTGAGGATGCGTTGCGTTCTGTTGCAGGGCAACTTCATTCGCCGAACGGCGACAGCGATAACAGCAACGGTAGCCAACGTGCGGTGGCTATTACGCGGAACGACGTAGAGCAACAGCAACAGCCACATCGCCATCGGCATCAACGGCAAGCGGCAGCTACCGTTCCAGCTCTCGCCTGCACGAATCAATCTTCTACAACCCCGACGACAACCGCGTTCACGGTAGCGTCAAGTATGCTTCTTCTACAGACACAGGTAATGTAACCGGCTGATAGAACTCCCCCCCCCCCTCCTTCCCCCCCGCCCTTCATTGTTTATTATTAATTATGTAATCAGGTTTGAGATTCGCTCAAAAGTTGGCGCACGTGTGACATTATCTTTGGCGACGCCAAATCAATTATTCCCTTTTCCCCGTAATTCCAATTGTACTCTGTACCTCTCTCTCTCTCTCTCTCTTTAATCTCATTTCGTTTCATACTCTTCATGATTCTTCCAATCATTTCCTAACTCTATCTATTATTCATTACCGTTCTTTTCTTTCGTCCGCCACCAACTCAATACCATGAAATTTACGACGGATTGGACTCCTTGGTTTTATTCGCGCGTACAAACTTGTCAATGATAATAATTGCAAAAAAAAAAAAGGAAAGGAAAGGAGAAAAAGAAAAAAAAAGAAACGACGACGCGTTTCCTTAACGCGATCGGAATTTAACGCGGAATTACGTTTATTCGCCGGAGCGAATAGCAGTAATTATCCTGCTGTTTAGTGGGGCGCACGGAACTTTCACTATTTCGCTATCTTATCTGGCCCCGTAGTCTTGGAAGTCCGGCTCGGCTCGCAACAAGATCTGCCCTCCTACGTCCCGACGTTCTTGATCGTCATCTGCGCTCGCTTATCGTGCACCATCTGCATTCCTGCCCACGTACCCGGATCTCCAGTGTCGTCCTACCTGTTTCTATCCCCTCCCCTCTTGGCATTTTCCGCGTTGGAAAGTATTTTCGATGCGTGCGAGATCGTTACGATGCGTTCGCAATTAAATCGAATCGGCGAAATTGGTGGTCGGAGGAAGAAAACGGCACGATTCTGTTGCACGGTACGCGACGATAATTGGTGGCAGCTAGTTTCGTGGGGATGAGGAGGGGTTGAACGACTCGTGGAGGCCGTTCAGAAGGCCATAGTCAGGGTCTATGGTAGACCGAAGCTTCGATCGCGGGATACTCGAGGGAGCGATGAACGAAATGTCAGCCCAGAAGCGGAACCAACCCGGCAAATTGAATATCCAACCCCATCCCACTTCCCTCTTACCGGTATCCTCCAATAAGCTCGTCGGACGTTTTTCTTTTTTTCCACCACGTTCTTTCCTGTGTTTCACTTTTCTCTCGTTTATATCGACGAATTTTGTTGCTTTTCTTGGGAGAGGAAAAAAGAAAGGAAAGAAAGATAAATTTGTCGTACTCGATCATCGTGTTTTTCTTTCATCCCCATGTCGATATAGTTTTATTACGAATATTATTATCGGAACATGATGATTTTGATGAATGAAACGTCGGCCGATATATTCGTAATAATATTCTCGGGGACGAGGATTATTTATATTGTAAAATCTAAATCTGTCTCGTTGTTCGCAGTTTAACGATAATCGAGTTAGAGTCACGTTAGAGGGGGATCGTGTAATCGTGATTTCGGACGAAAAGATTCGATTGAACGATGTAGAAATCTGTACTCGAAGCGGCGAGTTATAGACGCAACACGCGATACGAGAATCCGCTTCGTTCCTCTCCGATATCCTCACTGCGCACCTCAACTGTACATCGATGTCTCGACAAGGCTCGCAATTGTGGTCGAACAATGTTACCGCCTTGCAGTCGAGTTCTTCGATTTGCCACTCGCACGGCTCTCCCGCCCTTGTCTGCCGTCGTAGCGAAAAAAGCGAATTGTCTGCCAGCCTTCCTCCAGCGAAGGAAGCGGTGGAAGGCTTCGAGCTCGGGTTATCACAGATCGAAGAATTTCGAATTTCGATTCGGATCGAATGCCGTTTTAACTTATCGCGCGAAAACTCTTGAAACTGAATAAACATTCGATCGAAAGATTTATCGCGATTATGTTCACTTGAATTGGAAGAGACACGAGGGTTCGATACGAATTTTCCAGAGCCCGTTCGGATGTAGCACCCTGGCGGATTTGTTGAGCGCTTCGTACACGGATCCAACGGATGCTGGGAGCCTACCCGAAGAGCTGGACCCGTTTCCAGAACTGCAGCTGGGCAATCCGCAGGGAGTGCCGACGGGCGACGAGTCGGGGCAGGCTCAGCAACCGGTGCATCATCAGCAAGCGCCGCAGCCGCCTCCGCCGGCAGCGCCGCTTCCCGAAGACGTCCAGCCTGACTCGCTTAGGTACGGCTCATTGTTTTCGACCTCGTAGATAGAATCGTAGATAGATCCTGCTACGATAATATAAATCACACGGATCCGCCTGTTTGTCGAATTGCACGTCGCGCTACGTTTCGTTTAACGATCATTCGTCTCAGAGGAAAAATGGTAGTTTGGCATTTGGTTGGAAGGTGGCGAGACGGTCCACTTACATCTCTGCATCTGTCTGTTGGACGCAGTTCAACACCCTTGCCGAGCTTCCAAGAGACGTACACGGCTCAACGATACACGAGGCAAGAGCTGCAGGTTCTCGGGATCAAAATGGACGAGGGGGAGTGTTACGACAACTCGGTGTACCCGTGCGCCACCGGCCCCTATCCAACCGAGTTCTCGCCCACGTTGCCCTACCACGAGCAACAACCCCAGCAACAGCATCATCACCATCCCCAGCAGCAGCAGCAGCCGCCCGCGCCGCCCCCGCAGCAGCACCACCATCATCAGGGTTACTTCGCGACCGAGACGGCCCCAACTCCGACCACGGCGGTTCCCTCGCCGGCAAATCATCGGCAAGACTCGGCGGCGTACGGTGTCCCCATGGTGTACGGTCCACCGCCGAGCATCACAGCCGGTGCCACCCCCGTTCCACCGACAGACATTTACCCTACCGTTGACAACGTGGTCGTAGGGACGACCCGTTCACGGAGGGCGTCTCTGCCCACGCAGAGGTCAGAGTCTGCCAGGTAATAGAAATAATAAAAATCTCGAGGTCGTTTCATTAGAGTTTTTCTTTCGAATCAAGTTTCAATAGTTTCGTAAATTCTCTTCTTTCTCTGAAGCCGAGTTTCCCTTTCGATTCGATCCTTTTCGAGGGATAGGAGACGTTTCACGAAGAAAGCTCGTGTGTTTCACAGTAGCGGGAGTACGGAATCCCCGAAGGCGCGCGGTGGGAGCGGTGGCACAGGAAGCTCCGTCAGCTCTCCGTCGCCCGGAAGCGGAACCAGCAACGAGCGGGCACCACCGAGCCCCAGCCAACTTTGCGCCGTGTGCGGCGACACGGCAGCGTGTCAACACTACGGCGTCCGTACGTGCGAGGGTTGCAAGGGATTTTTCAAGAGGACCGTGCAAAAGGGCTCGAAATACGTGTGTTTGGCCGAGAAAGCTTGCCCCGTTGACAAACGCCGGCGGAATCGTTGCCAATTTTGCCGCTTCCAGAAGTGCTTGATGGTCGGAATGGTGAAAGAAGTGAGTGAAAATTGAATTGAACTCGTTTCGAGAGAGATATGTATTATCTAAGAAAGAAAAAAAAAAAAAAAGAAAAAAAGAAAGAAAAGAAAAGAAAGAAGGAAGAAGGAA